TTTTTGAACATTGTGCATAACCTTTTTATTACCTTTTTAAATATTGTGAATAACCTTTTTTTGCAACTTTTTTGAACATTGTTAATAACATTTTCGCAACTTTTTGTTGCAAATAACCATTTCGCAACGTTCAAAAAACATTGCGAATAACATTTCTGCAACATTTTTCGAATGTTTCCAATAACTTTTTTGCAACTTTTTTTATCGTTGTCGTAGTTATTTTTTTTATATAGCAATTTATGTAATCTGACTCATAAAATTGAAAATGACTCATTGCGAACAAAATTTGGAATTACATAAAAATTGATAATTTCATCACAAATTTTTGAATCCATACACTTGAATATTAAAATGTGATAAATACCACCTAAATAAATGGACCATGCTAGATGTACATACACTTTTTACCGAATTTTTTACCTACACTCACAATAAGAGGGCGGGTCCCACACACCGGAATTTTTAAATGCACATGGGGCCCACATGCATGTGAGAGTAGGTAACCAATTCGGTACATATATATTTATCCTAAATAAAAAGGAGTTTCAAAATGGGAAAAAAATCAGAAATAAAATTTTGATACTACTTCGGCATGCATGAAGAGCTTATTGCCACACAACAATAAGCTTCTGGTTAATACACTAATGGCACACTCAATCTTGTCATTCTTCATGCATTCTTTGAGTTGCTTGCCACACAATTCATGATTGTCAATGAATGTGCAAGAGAAGCATTGAATCAATACGAAAAAAAAGTCTTCAATCATTCACTTGTGCATTGAAAATTTATGGTACCTCTAAGAAGATAGCATGTAGCAAGTGCACGCATACCTTGCGCCATCAATGGGCTTTAATTTGAGGAAATTTGAAATCATTATAGCTTGGATTCATCAATCGAATTTCTTATCAAGTTAGTGTACCAAGAACCTATTAGAGAAAGTCGTCTAAGTATACATGAAGAGATCATTACAGTTATGGCAATTTGATCCATAGGAACGTAAAATAAGGAATGATGGCACACTTGATAATTGCTACAAGCTAATTATTTGCATTTTCTCCAAGAAACAGTGGCTATTAAAAAAGAAAAAGAAAAAAGGCAATTATTGAAACTAAGAAAATATGGTAAAAGAAAATAGAACTTGAAAAATTCTGTGACCAATTAATTATGGAAAATTCTAGTATTTTGCACAAAGTGAATGTTTTAAAAATTGACGTTCCGCCTAAAATTTTCTAAATTTCATGATACAAATTCTCAAACTTAAGTAAATTTCCTCAAAAAAATAATTGGACAATATTTACATTTAATTTCATAAAACGTTCATAAATTATCTTGACCAAGTCTACTTTTAACATTTTTGACATTGTAGCAAATTGAAATATTGAATTGTAGAATATTCAACAGCACCATATAAGACATGTATCAAATTAAAGCAAACAGGTTTAAAGTGAAGAAGAAGACTTTTTCAGGAACACGAACAATTTTTTTTTTTCAGTAGATGAATCATATAAAGTGCATCATAACCAGTTATGCAGGACTGAGAGAGGCATTGTAGCATAAATGGCTAACCAGTTATGCAAGAGTGAGATAGAGACTGTATACCTTTAATGTTTCTCTGAACTAACCGAGATTAGGGATGACAATGGACTGCTTTAACCCACGAGCTCGGCTCGGGCTCATGGCCAGCCGAGCTCGTGGCTCGTGAAAGACGAGCCGAGCTCGAGATTAGGGATGGCAATGGGCATCTTTAACCCACAAGCTCGGCTCGGGCACATGGCAAGCCGAGCTGTTGTTCGGGGGCGAGCTCGAGACGAGCTGTTCGCAAGCTCATGATTTTTTAATTTTTTTGGTAAATTTGCACATGTTTTGACTTTTTTTTTGTAAATTTGCATATTTTTTGACGAAACTCGTGGGCTCGTCAAAAGGGGCTTGTGGGCTCAACTTTGCCCACAAGCTGCTCGTGGGATTGAGCCCCCTGCTCGAATGACGAGCACGAGCCGAGCTGCTCGTCGGCTCGGTCCGTTTGACATTCCTAACTGAGATGGAAGCTTATATTCCTCAGTTCAAGCACCTAGTCCTTTTGTAGATTCCCCTAATCTATCAAACAATCACATTGCAGTATTCAAAATGTGTTCAGTTTCAAACAACCACAAACCAAATCAATGAACACATAGGTAGATCGAAAGACAGAAAATACTTCACAAACTGACCCATAGAAAATTTATACAAATAAAACCACAATAAAAAATTAACTTTTGCGATTTAATTAGAGCTTAATTAGACAAATAAAAAACTGACCCCTTCCAACCAATCCCTAAAACGAAGAGCTTAATTAGATAAATCAATAACCAACCCAATAAAAATGAAACCTTTTTAGGGTATTGATTAAGAGACACCAGAATCATGATTTCATTCTCCAAAATTAGAAATTTTGAACAATAAATTATACAAACCAACGGCCAATCTATAAAAGTGAAAACATTTTTCAGGATATTGATTACAAGAACCAGAATCTATTTTTCAATCTCCAGATTATTAAATTTGGGGGTTAAATCAATAACCAAACTATTTAACGGATTTAAATTTAAAAACTCTAGTTCTAAACCCCAATGCTCACTTCAATTTGAGTCTACAAGTGAAATCTACCTACGAATATACATGGAAGACACATAATATAATAGACAGACTTTTCCTTACGTTTCATCCTTGACTGCGAGGTTAAGAAGAGCAGCGAGTGTCGCCTATTTGGCTTCAATAGAGTCGCAAAGGAGCACGTCGACAAGCAGCTTCATAGCACCGGAGAAATGACGGCGGTAGCGCTGCAAGATCTTAGTAAGCTGTCGAATCTCCACCCGCCTTAACTTTCAAATTCACCTCATCAGATTGAAGTAGCAAAAGTTACTTCACAAACTGACCCATAGGTAGGGCTTTTTTGTTTTGAAATTTTTTATGTATGGCATCAGATGTAATTGCGAAAAAGTTTATTTTTCCTTGAGAAAAGCTTTATCTTTCACAATGTTTGATTAACATTGCGAAAAATAAAAATATTCGTAACATTAAATAAACGTTGTAAAAGATCGACATCAGCAACATTCACTTAAAAAATATTGTCAAATTTCAATTATTAACACCAATGACAACATTCACCTATTAGAATGTTGCAATAGATCATTTTAGCAACATTTAATTAATGAATATTGTCTTTTACATGTTGTAAAAATGCATTTTTGTTGTAGTGTGTAGGCCCCACCCTTGACAATAAAGCATACGAATTAGTAATATCTTCATCCACACCCAAATATTTCATGGTATAGGGTAATGCTATTCATAATGCAGTAGTCGTCCTATGTGACATTTTACAGTGGTTTGTAATTTGATGTATTAATATGGTAATTTTTTCTTACTTCATATATGAAATTACTAACCACCAAATGTATGTTAATTAAGACGACTGCGATAGTGAGTAATTACAAATAACATTATTAAATTATATATGTTCGCACAAAATGTCCCTGAAAATACAAAGATATGATTTACAACCCTGCTTAATGAACTCATTCAACCCATATAAATAAAAGATGCAATCGTAGAAAAGAAGAAAACATCATGCACATCAAATAGCACCATTACTAGACCATAATAACACGTTTAGATTACAAAATAATTCCGGTCCAACGCATTATATTAACATAGGTATCTGAAAAAGTTCTCGAAATGCTATCAAACCTGATCAGAGATTGTGCTGCCTATAAAAAATATGATTGATGATCTCAATCTCATAACAATGACGATGAAAAGTAGAGTATATCTATTGATTTACAAGCTTTTGACTTCTACACTTATTCTTTTAGTTGCTAATGTAAAGTGGGTATTTTCTGCAATAAACATTGTGAATAATAGATTGTTTTGCAATTGGATTGGAAATTAGTAGATGAATGATAGCCTCATTGTTAATGTTGAGAAAAATATTTTTTGATGATAGATAATAAAGTCATTGTACAAAGATGTCAAAGAATGAAAATTCGCAGCGAACAATTGTAAATGGTATCGTCATGCCATCACATTGTTTTTCATCTTTCACCTAATTCCTAACTCCGTTTTTTGTCCCTATTTGTTGTGGTGTATAGAACATTTCTAACTAATTGAATTGTATTTTTGGCAATAGCATAGGAAACAAGACTTGATCATCTTGCAAGCAAAAGTTGACTAGTAATTTTCTCCAATGTCTCCAAGTCTGAAACATTAACGTTTCCACTTCAATTTTGGTAAAAAAGTTAGGCGCTGGTCATTCTTATGTACCCCACCATCGACAATTCGTTTAAGCAACTCCCAAAATCATAAACAATTGCTACCATATGATAAAATTTAAAATTAATATATAATAATATGATTAGACTTTGAAAAGTGATAAAAATACTCTTTCTTCTGTACACTTGACTAAAACGTGGGAAGAAAGGACACTTGGAAATTGCAAGGAAGAGAGGTCACGACCCTACTTGACAAAAGATTAGGGTTAATAAAGTCATACCAGATTCAATTATAAATAAACTATAGCAATTCCCATTTTCAAACAACGAACATATATTTTTTTCTCGTTGTTTAGCTGACTACCATGTGGCCAAAATTAAAGCGCTTCGTTGGACATTCATATGGTTCCACCATATTCCCTGCGAGTAAATTCATAATAACATTGTTATATTATTGCAACTATCAAAAAAATACGTAAGCATTTCCTCGTTTGAATCATTTTCTTCAGGAATACGTTAACCACTCCGCCAACCCTCACACAAAATCTAAAGCCAAACATTAACTATAATCTAACATCAACGTTCCTAAATGATGAAATATATCTTATGTTCTTCAAAGACAAACAATAAAAGAGAAGAAAGTAGATATAATAGAGATATATTCTTGAAGACGGCATTAATTATGACAAAGGCTTTATAAGCATATGCAAAAGCATATTAAAAGAAGAATAGGTCTCAACATAAATGAAGAATTAAATTGAAGTCTTCCTAGTACCCTATTACAATAACTACATTATACCAACCTCTCCTTTCTCTTCTCTAGAAACCTCTGCAACGACTGCCTCCTTGCTATAGGAAAATCTGAAAATACAAAGATACGATTTTGAAGAATCTACAATGAACCAAACATGCCTAAAGAAAGACAAATTGATACACACCTCCCTTAAGGGTTCCCAGTATATTTTTCTGGTCAGATGTCACATTAGAATCCGAGGATTCAGCAGGTTTTTGGACTCCTTCGTCAGCAAGTAGGAGAATATCCTGCGCCTGCAGAGCACCATTAATTAATTAATTTTTTTTTTTTTTTAAGAAGTTCAGTTTCTTTTTGTTAATTAATGATAATGTGAAAAAATGAACCTTATCTCGAGAAACATAAAAAACGGCGACCATCCCATTGTAGAAAATCGTCATGGGAGCAGTTTCAGTATCTCTTTTAGGCTTACAATTTTTCCTAAAAAAGTCCCAGAAAATATCTTTAGCCACATGCAAGAAATGAAAAGGCGAAAAAGCTTTTTTTTTTTTTTTTTTTTTTTTTTTTTTTTTTTTATAAGGTTGTTACCTACTGGTAAAATCATGAAGTGGCGAGGATGGATAGGAAGTATCTTCCTTCGGCGTAGAAGGAACAGAACCCGATTTATTCAGACCGAACGAACCATTTGTTATCATAGTTTTCAGAACCTCTGGATTGATTTTAGAGACGACTCCTTCTATATCAATATTAGTGAGCATTGCAATTAAGGCAGATAATTTGAAAATTGAAAATACTCACCAACAAGTCCAACTATTTACTTATTTAAAACTCATTTCTATATTTTAATAAACATTTGTAAAGCATGTGTTAAATTTGAACAATTAAAGAAAGGACTAATTACATTGAAGATACATAGTTTCTGTTAAGAGTTAGGATTCCATCTTAAAAGATCAACTTTGTTAAGAGGAGTAACCCAAGACCTTATAAATTGGTCTATATTTTCATCTTTATTTGATATGGAATTTTATTCCTTAACACGCCCTCGCAAAATGATGGCTCTTTTGAGCAGATTAATCTTGATATCCGTATACTTATTTATTGAGTCTTAATGGGATCGAAACGCTCGTTGGAGCTTAATGATCTTTGATATCATGTTAAGAATTGGAGTTTCATCTTAAAAGGCTAACCTTATTAAGAGAAGTAGCACAGACCTTATAAGTTGGTCTATATTTTCATCTTTATTCGATATAGGATTTTATCTCTTAACAGTTTCATTTTGTATGAAAAATACATCCAAAAAAAAAAGTTAAAATTAAAAATTAAATTTTACTTACATAGTTTATGGGATTTATAGCTTTTCAAATACACATTTCATCAACTTTTATCCAAATGTACTAACAATCTAATAATTATCTATATCAAACAAGGGCCATATAATTAACTGATGGAAAAATATTAGTGTCACTTTTGTGTGTGTGTGTGTGTATTTATTTATTTATACAGTTTTGTACTTTTGGACGATGTAGAAGTTGCTATCTCACCATATTGTTTGAATACATAAAATACATGTCAACCTTTTGAAATATTATACAATAAATTCTCAACCTCAAAAATGGACAAAAATGAATCGGATCAGAACAAAACCTAGCATAACATAACAATACTTATAAGGAAAATGCTAAGTGTACAACATCTTACATGACAGTCCCCTCACAAAACGTAGGGCGTGGGAATAAATAATCACGAGCCCCATCCATACATGTGAGAGAGCTTTATAGCACTTCTCTACTTATAAAATTCCAAAATGAATGTGATAAAGGCATTCAAATCAATAATATCTTCATCCACACCCAAATATTTCATTGTAATGGTATATATGTTTGCTATCCTTGAAAATACAAAGATTACGATTTACAACCCGGCTTAACAATTCAACCCATATAAACAAAAGATACCAAGAGCAGAAAAATAAGAAAACATCATGAACATCAAATAGCACCATTACTAGACCGTAATAAATGTTTGAAATGTGTCTTCACAAAAAAAGAATGGAGAAGAAACAAAGAGTAAAACTAGGAATAAAATATGAAGAAGAATGTCTGAACACGTAATCGTTGTCCTAAAATGATATTTGCCTCCTCTCGAATTGAAATTCGATGCTTAAAGGGATTATCGACAAATGATTTGCAGAATTAATCAAGACTTGAAAAGGATTAATCATTTAAACACGAGTGAAATCCTCTAAAACTTGAGAACTCAAAATCAGAATATGAATATGATAGGAGCCATAACGACTAAAAAAGTGTTCTATGTGGTCTTACATGCTATAGCTTAGATCAATATACGGCAGGGCCTTTAGGAATGCGGCAGCAGCCGCTTATTACCTATGCAATCGTATAGGCTAATTTTCTAGCCTCCAAAGTTTGTTTTTCATTTCACACACGTATTATTGATTTTGAACAATATACAACAACCCCTACTTGTTCAACATTCAATAAGATCTCATATTCAAAATATACAATACTCATGCATAGAAATTAGATATCTTTCGATTTGAATCTAATTATAGTATAATTCAAACAAAGTAAAGTCGGAACCAAAGGTAGCGTTGAAGCTTTGAACAATTATTCCATGTGACAATACCTGTAACAACACACAATCTAATATAGCCTTGCACCCATCCCTTTCGACAAACTTTTAAGAAAAAAACTCTTGCTCTCTATTGAAGAGTCACCACCTCGAAGTTCGTCTAGGTGAAGATCTTAGAGTCTCTTTGTTATTTTTAGAGATACTTGTACTTAGTACTAAATTTCATTAAGAGATTGAGGCTCAATTCTCATTTCAAAAATAACTAGAATTATTTAATTAGAATGAAGTTATTACCGATTTTATAATACTGAACCATCCACATATTAAATGACTTGTTGTTACCCTTTGAACTCGTGGATTACTTGTTAAGTAATAATATGTAGAGTTGCCATTATTGGTGGATTTTTTATTTCAAGATTTTCAATCTCATTATACTTGAAGTAAATATTATTAAATCTCTATTAGAGATATAGTTAAAGGATCCACTAAGTTCTCAACTGACTTTACATAATTTAGGAAAATTATTCCATCTTTGATTAATCTCCCTATGCAGTTATGTCTAAGACTCATACGTTTAGACTTTCTATTGTATACATCATTATATGCTTTTATTAATGTAGCTAGACTATTACACATGATAGGTATTGAAGAAGTATTCATCGGTCCCAAAGGTATCTTATAAAGTAGTTTCTTAAGTCACCCAACTTCTTTTTCGATTTTTGATAATGCTACATTTTCAAATTCCATAGTTGATGTGTTATACATGCCTGTTTCTTTGATTTCTAAGAAACTGCACCTCCTTTAAGAGTAAACGCCCAACCTGAAGTAGACGTACTTTTACCCGTGCTAGATATTCAAATAGCATCAGTAAATTCTCCAATACAGTAGGGAATTTAATATATTGCAGGCCTAAGTTTTTAGATTTCTTTAAATATCCAATAACTCTACCAATAACCTTCCAATGATCTTTGCTCGGATTACTAATAAACCTACTCAATTTACTAATTGCAAATGTTATGTCTAGCATTGTGCATTGAATTGCATACATTAAACTGTCTATAACATTTGCATACTCCAATTGAACAATTACCCTTTCATCATTCTTCATAAGTTTTGAACTTTGATCAACAGGGGTAATAAACTCTTTCATTTTCAAATGTTTGAACTTATTTATCACATTTTAAGTATAATGTGATTGCCTTAAATTATAACTCCCACTAGTTTTAATAACTTTGATACCCAAAATGGTATCCATTGTCCAAGATCCTTCATTTTGTATGTGGAAAATAGAAACCTCTTCGTTTCTTCTATCACATTCATGCGATTAATAATAATCAACACGTCATCAATGTATAGGAAATAAATATCACATAATCATCACATAATTTAGAAAACAAATATTTATTTAAACTATTATATTTAAAATCAAATGATACGATAGTTAAATCAAATTTTTCATGCCATTTCTTAGGAGTTGCTTCAAATCGTATAATGATTTTACTAACTTGTACACCTTATGTTCATTTCCAGTTAGAGCAAACCCTTTGGGTTGTTCCATATAAACATCCTCATCGAGATTCCCTCCATTTGATGAATATGCAAGTTATGTATCGAAGCCAAAGTGAATAATATCTTAATTGATGTTATTCTAACTACCGGTGCATAAATATTAAAATAATATATTCCTTCCTTTTGTTGATAACTTTTAAGTGCTAGTCTAGCATTAAAGGTATTGAGAACACCATCATCATTATACTCTCTTCGAAACACCTATTTTCATCTAATAGGTTTTGATCCGGATAGTAAATCAATAAGTACCCATGTATTATTTGACATAATTGAATCTATTTCATCTTTAATTGCATCTTCTTGGATTTGTTAAAGTTCCTTGAAGACTTTCTCTTGTTGGATTTGTTTAAAGGTTTGATTTTATCTACAGCATCGATCTTGGAAGTGCCTTCATAAGAATTGTCATTCATCATCCTGGACTCTTCCTTAATGTGAAAATGTTTCTGCAATTATTCCAAAAAGTAATATTCAGAACTATGCACGATTTTCTTCAGATATCATTTCCAAGTTCTCATGAGTTTTGCAATAATTGCTCCAATTTGAAAAGTTTTCGGGATCTAAATTTTGATCGCCTTTAACTTGTTGACAAGAACTTGTAATTCATATACTTGGTGAAGAAGGGGAATATTATCGAGAAATTTAAAATCTAAATACTTTGAAAGTAAGAGTTTCTAAGTACCTTCTTCTTCGACTTTATACTTCATTTTCAAGGCGTTCCAAATTTCTTTTGCAAAAGAAGTGTCGGTATAAATAGCATACACCCGATCGAATAATACCTTAAGTATATAACCATGGCAAATCAATTCATCCTCTTGACCTTTTTGTCTTTCGACTTTTATGGCATCTATTTCTCCATTTATTGGTTCCGATAGCGGTGCCAATTTCAGATCAAGTATATGTGAGTACAAATTTCAACTTGTCTTACCATCTTGTGAAGTTAAAACTATCAAAA